GCACTACCGCAAGCAGCCCCGCATGGCCAGGAGCCCCTGCAGCCTGGGGCCTCCTCAGCACAGCAATTCTTTAGGGAGTGTGGGGGCTGGGGGAGGGGCAGCCGCTACCTTTGAGACAGAAAGATGCAGGACAGCATTTCGTATGGAACCATCTGAAGGTTTTTGCTGTTTTTAGAATTCAGAACCCTTGTAGGGAGGTGGGGTAAGAGGTGCTCCCATTTGTCTGGTAGATATGCACCTCAGTGGGCAGTTGTGCCAGGGCAGCAGCTGACCAGTTTGTGACAACCGGCCCATCTGTGTTGTCTGGGTGCTCACTTGAAAGGGATGTCATCGGTGTGCCCATGCCTGTGGATCCCTGAGGGTCATGGCTAATTCCTGGTCCGTCCCTTCCTACTTCCATCTCTCCTCTCTGCCGTTCCCTGTCCCATTCCCTTCTTCCTGGCCAGGGCCGGGACCCATTTTTAACCCCACCCATTGATCATTTCAAGAAACGTCTGTTTACTGTGCAGTACCCAGGCAAAACATGCTCTACAAACTCAACTTGTATATTTGGCAGATTAAACTTGACATTGTCGTAAATAATAATAACAATGAATAACAGTAATAAACTAAATTAAATAATTCTCTTTTTAAAAAAGAAATAACATAACTAAAATGAAACGCATGGCTAAAACTTGAGGACGAATCTGGGGCCATAGGATTTGATTTCTGTCTCTATTTCTTTTTTTGTTTTTTTTGGAGAGGTTTTCACTATAGGGTGCGTGCACTCGCCAGACAGACAGAGAGAGACAGAAAGCGAGAAATCACCCCCCAATGGGGATGGCCACACCGCAATCCCTTTTCCTCCATTCTCCTCTCAGGATCTTGGGCACACATGCACACACACCCGGTGTGAATTTTAAGTCACCGGGTCCGGGACGTGAACCATGGTCGACTACATGGGAGTCCAATACCATAGCCATTATGCTAACTGCTGGTCCCCTCTGTCTCTATTTCAATTCTGAATGGGCAGGTGGGAGAAAAGCCAGTGGGCCTTGGCAGGAGAAAAAGGAATGTATTTTCGGTTTTTTTGGAGAGGTTTTTGCTATAGGGCACATGCGCTCACCAGAAAAACAGAGAGAGACAGAAAGCGAGAAATCACCCCCCAATGGGGATGGCCACACCGCAATCCCTTTTCCTCCATTCTCCTCTCAGGATCTTGGGCACACATGCACACACACCCGGTGTGAATTTTAAGTCACCGGGTCCGGGACGTGAACCATGGTCGACTACATGGGAGTCCAACAACATAGCCATTATGCTAACTGCTGGTCCCCTCTGTCTCTATTTCAATTCTGAATGGGCAGGTGGGAGAAAAGCCAGGTGAGCCTTGGCAGGAGAAAAAGGAATGTGTTTTCACTCTCCTTTTTACTTCTAGTACTAAGTACCCAGATTAGAAACACAGCTGGGTCTTACCTTGGGTTACTGATGCTGGTAAAGAGCAAGAAGTCCCAGTGATAACCATTTCCTCTAGCTCAGGGTCTGGCCCTGACTGCTTCCTCGACTACTGTTACTGTTCTAGCAACCATCGTGTCAGTCCCACATTAGTCAGAAGGTATCATTTCTGGAGACTGTGCTTGAAAGGAGTCAGTACCCCCTCCGCCTTCAGCCAAGGCTGTGAATAAACACGCTCCAGCCCCCCGGCCTGTCCTAACCAAGCAGGAGGCAGGCCCCCTTGAGAAGCATTTGAATTCCAGGGGAAAGAGATTTCCCTGAGCCATTTAGGGCTTACTGTTGTCATTTCTGATGAAAATGGGGTATTCTCAGGAATGAAGAGTGAGTATTAGAAAAGGAAACCCAGGGAAAACAAGAATGGGATTGTGCCAATGAATCTGCCTCAGTTTGAAGGCTAAAGGACCAGACTGAGATGAAAACTAAAATGGAGAGTGTGCTCTCCCAACTTCTGTTCCAAACTACCTGATAACATTTTTAAACCATCCTTTCTCCTTCAGTGGTTTCTGTTCAACTTAAGGACTTGGCCTAGAATGGGAGAGCATTCTGTAAATGCTCCTATGCAGAAACACGCACACGCACACACACACACACACACACACACACACACACACACTTTCCTTTGATTATTGGAAATGTTATGTATGGCTAACAGCAATTCCACATTGCAGTTTTTTCCTTTTATGAGCACAAGAGGGTGAGAAGGGGAGAGAGAGAGGGTGGTGGGAGGAGAGAGAGAGACAGAGGTTGATATGTTTTAGACAGGGTCTCACAGTGCCATGATCTTCCTGCTCCCATAATCCTAGTTATGGTAGTTAAGATCACAGGTGGGTGCGATCACACGCAATGCGTTCACGTCAGCTCAGGAACCAAACCCGGGCCTCCTATATGATCTCCAGCCTCCCAAGCAGTGGTATTACCTGTACACCACTGTGGTTGGTCCCCATTTTGCAATTTAAAGGTCCTTTTAAAAAATTATTTTAATTTTATTTATTGTTATCATTTTTTTATTTGACCAGAGAAAGAGAGAGATAAGGGGGAAGTGAGGAAGCAAGCCACTAGGTCTGGAACTTGAACTGCAGTCAGTCGTGTGGGAGTCCAGTGCCCTAACCCCCATACCACCTGCCATCCCCCTAAAGTTTCTTTTATGTACTGGCATTACCTAGCCCTGATGACGAGGCTATGCTAGGACTTTGGAAGGAACATTAACTATTTCAAACCATTAAGAGATATATATCATGCCTATAGAATATCAATGAGTCAGGTAAGAAAAATCACCATTAGGCTGTTGGGGGTTCATACAGATAAATCTATATTAACTTTGAATGAAAAGCAGCTTAAACATAAGTCCCAAATTCTAACTCTGGTCTAATATGCCTTAAATGAAAATCAGCATGACAAATTTCTTCTTAAAATGTTTTCCAAAGGATTAGATGATTTTTTTAAATCCTATGTTTTTAATCATGAAAAACCATCTCTCAAATGAATGACACAATTATTGACTTAATCTTTTTCTCCAAGGAAAAGGTTATCTATCTTCTAAAGTAAAAAATGACCGACTGCTATAATTGAATATCACATATTAAGTAAAAATTGTGTTGCTCAGGGACTGTAGTGTATCGGGAGAAATATGACCAAAAACACCTTTGCCGAGACTGAATGCAAAAGGTTCGGCGCGATTTCTACCAAGAAATATCTTCTAAGAAAAGATAAGATTAGCAGTAATTGTTCTGGCTAACACAGGAAACTGGCAACAGTATTTCAAACAATGACTTCTTTTTCCTTTTTTTTTTTTTTTTTCTTAAATGATGGAGAGCAATTGCTCGTCTAATGAAGGGATTCGGTAAATAAATTACGCATTACTTTCAACTGATTACTCTGAAATAGGGAAATTTCCATCCTAACAATTGCTCTTTAGAAACAAGACAAACCTCTGGCTCGCATCAGACCCCACAATTTAAACGGTTATAGCTAACGCACTAAACAAATAAATATTATACGAGTGGGGCGCAGGTGCAATATAAACCCCTGCTTTATCACTGAGCGCCATTCATTTTCACACACACACACAGAGTTCCAGAAGTTGACTTTCACCTCTAAATATTTCTCACCTGTTAACAAGAGGGAACATTTATACTGTCAGACATGCAAAATACTTACTAAGCTTCTGCAGTAAGTATTTTTATTCATATGTTCTTGCAAAACTATGAGGAAGTCAATAAACAGACCATAAACTTGCTCAGTTCTAAGATTCTCACAGCGCTCAGCTCCCTGACAGGCTTAAGGGAGGCAACGAAGCCTGCCTTATGTTAGTGTTAATCAACTGCAAAGATACTTACAGTTAGATCATCGTTGGGATCACACTTCCAGCTACGCTCTGAATGGTGGTGTGGACACCTTCGGGCCCCCCTTCCTGCACTCTGCTGTGTGATGGTAAATGAGTTACAGTAATAACCCTGTAAAGATCCTGCCTTGTGATTAAAACATCACCTTAATGCAGACTTTATATTTTGGCTTCTATGAAGGTTTAAAGGTTAAAGGCATCATAAATTATTCAATTTCCTTCTATGCCAGGCCCATAAAAGGTGCTTTCACTGTTCATTAAAGATACTGCTTCTGAACAGGCGCTGGCTTTTTGTTTTTTAAGTGCTGAAACAAAAACATGTCCATTGTGTTTATTGCTGCAATGCTGGCGAACCAAAACATTTTGGAATTGGAAAACTGCTAGAGTCTGTTGTTCCAGGATATGTAGCTACATACACACTGGAATCATCGTTCACCGCCAACATCGAGACAGTCAAACATACCCCGTCAACACTGTTGGTCTCCTCCCAGGAGAACAAAGGTCTGGCAAACCCCACACCACCAGCAACAGTTGGGGCTTCCCCCTCGTGCCTCTGCCCCAATTTACAGAAGTGACCAGGAATTAGAGTTGTGATGGCCACTGGCATACCCTAACTCCTGCCCTGAAGCAGGCTGTGCAGGCAAGCTGAGGTAAACTGCATGCTGGCAGAGGTCCTTCCTGTCTTCACTGATGACTTCCCACCTCAGGCTGAAGGAGTCCTAAGGGATTGGTTTTGATTCTGTGTTGTTTTCTTTTACACCGGTACATACTCCATCTGCAGAAGGCTGGGCTCTTTTTCTCAAAGACTACACCCATTCATCCCCTAGCCTTCAGGAGCAAACTGAGGTTTGACTGGATGTCACCAACCTCAGGCCAAAGGGCCCAAAACTGGACCCACTCGACCCAACTTCAGCCAAGCCACGACCACTCCCAGCTTTGCACGCAGCTGGCTTTGGTGGATCCTGGAAACTCTGTGGCGCTTTAAGGAGCAAAGTTGTACAGATTCTTTCAGGGGGACAGCCCACGCACCCTGACAACTAAGTGCAAAGTTGTTCCTTTGCTGCTGCAACACCGTTTCCTCTCCATCAGCTCACACGCACGCACCCGTGTGCACGCGCATACACACACACACACACACACACACAGCCTAGCTCCCTCAACTTACCAGTTTAGATTTGGCGCGTTGCAAAAATTCTTCCATGTCTCTGTGAGGGTTCTGATCCAGGAGTATACGGAGGGGCACAGACTAAGATCTCGGCCCGGGAGAAAGGAACAAGATGGGTGAAAAGTGGCCCGCCAGGGCGCAGCAACCGACTGCTCCCTCCTGCCGCTCGGAGGCGGCTGAGACTGTGGCTGTGCCCTCGGCTGCCCAGTCCCAGGGCTCCCGCCCCACCCCCGCGCCCCGCTGCCGGCTCCAGGCTCG